TGTAAACCAGTTTAAAATAAAACTCAAAAAAGAAATGTTAAATAAGTATAAGACTGAAGAAAATGTAATTAACCCAGGACGGCATGCAAACTGATGTTTAATCTCTTCTACAAATTAGAAAATCTAAATATAGTTCTAGTTGAACATGAGAATTTAATTTATTTATTATTATTGCTTTTTTTTTTTGTTTTTGTGGTTTTTTGAAGGCATTGTAACTGTTTTGTTGTTTACATTTTGATGATGAGGATGTAAACCTGAGGGGGTAGGGCTAAATAAGAATACACTTCTCCCTACTCCTTTTCAAACAATTGCGTGGAATGATTTTTATGAAATGTTGGTGAATGTATATGTTTGAAATAAAGTGAACTGAACTGAACTGAAACTAAGCCCCCCCTATGTCCTGCATGTTTTACATGTCTCTGCTTCAGCCCACCTGATTTACATATTTGCATTGCCGTCTCAGGATGACATCAAGTGCTGTAGAAGCCTGTTAATCACTCATTCATGTAGATCAGGTGTGTGGCAGCAGGGAATCGCCTACAGTAGAACAGAGGGGTGATTAGGACCAGGGTTGAGAAATATACATGAAGGAAAAACTTGAGCAGAGCTGCAGCTGCTACTTAGAGAGGGCCTGAAGCCTCGATCACATCTAATGTAGAATGGATATGATCCAGTTTGACATGCATCAGAAATGGTTGAGTCCAGTCAGAGCATTTACACCAGTTGTGGCGGGGATCCAGATGCGGGGCTCCAGAAAGTTGCCTCATGCAGTCTGGACCCTGCATGAGGATTGTTAAAGTTAAATAATTCAGCTGAACCAGACAAAAAGTGTGGAGGTTTAAGAAGAAAAAAAAGTGTGAAACGTGGTTCAGTGTTAAGGAGATTTAATGAAATTATTTTCTTTTAATAATCAGTTGTACGTTCTACTTTTGGGGAATCGTCAACACATTTGACTAAGGGGGTGCTCGTGGTACAAAAACACGGCTCGAGGGGTCCACAAGTCAGAAAAGGTTGAGAAACACTGTCCTAGTCCATCTGTGGAGAAGGGTTGTGGTTCATAGTTTTCTGCAGACATTGGTTAGAGTAAGTGGTTATTTGAGATCCAACCAGTCTACATTCTCCTTTGATTTCTGACATTAAAGTACTTTTTTCATACAAAAACCTGCTTTTGACTAAATATTTTGTGGTTTTTTTTATATATAATTTTCTGTAAAGCAACAAAGATGGTTGTGGGTTCAAATCCCAGTAACTCGATGTCACCTTGATAACTGTCTAGATAGCTAAATGCATAACCACAGAGCTTTCTGATTAGGTATTTTTGTTACCATGAGAACCTAAACAAGTTTTCAGTGGCCGTTGAAGACAGATACAATGTCAAATGCACCTTGAGCTCTCAGTTTAACATAATGGTGATCTCATTATGTGGATTTTTCTGCCTCCAAAGCCACATTTTACTTCTTACTCTAAGTAAAAACAGCTTGATATGACATGAGGGTCGTATTAGGAACCCAGGTTTACAGATGTAATATTGAGTTACTTTATGTTTATTTGAAGGTCGTTCTAACACCTGCTCAAACAGAAAAATGCTATTTTTTTCATAATTAATTACAGCCACATGTGGAAAATTGGTTGTAACAGCTGGAAAGTGAGTCTCAAACTGATAACATTTTGAAATGTAAAATGTATTTGAATGCTGGAACTTTGTGTCAGTTTTATGGGTGATGAGTGACTCCAAAGGGGAGCTGTTGGTCCTAAATCCCCTGTGGTCTCTTGTCACTATGTCCAATGTCCAGTTGCTTTGGGAGTCCTGTTTTCAGAGCAAAAAGGCAGTGTTTGTCTCGGGAGTTTGATTCTCACCTTTGGTGTCAGCGTTGAACATTTTTATGCATTTGAAGGTAGAAGATATTCTGGAAATGTGAATCTATGTAATGAATAACAGAGAAACGGGAGCGTTTATTATAAGTAAGTTATATTAGGTATTCTTCCATTGTGGCTGTACGTTTTCAGACATGACAGTTTAAAAGTTTCCACATAGAAGTAGAACTTTAGAAAACCACTGTTTGTTTCTGTCTTCCACGACAAACCCTATTGTAAAAAAAAGAGATTTATTACATTTAAGCTCCTGATTTAACTGATTTGGATGGTTCAACAGTTTCAGAGAGACAGAGAGAAGGCAGTGAAATGACGAAGATAAAGTCTCTCTGGTAATGAGGAGCACCCACACTCGTTCACACATGAAGAAAAGAAAGGGATGGGATCATGTAGAGGACAGTAGAGACCAAAATAGCTCCAATTATTAAACAAACTCTCCCTCTATCCCCTCCTTTTCATCTTCATTTCTCTTCTCCTCTTTAGCATCATTCCTGCTGCTTCTCCTTCCTCCTTCTTTAAGTTGCCTCTCTGTTCAGGTTTCTTTCTTCATCAGCTCATGTTGCTCGTTTGCCTGAAACAAGCAGACAAAAGAGGAGAAGGGGTGATGGAAGGATGGGAGGAGGTGTTCCTGGCTGTTAGCTCTTTTGAGGAAAATGTGGATTTTGTGTGAAACAGTTCAGAGCAGTGAACCTTAACTAGTGGCACACGAGCCACATCTGGCCCACCAGACCTTTCTTTTGAGGTACTTTGAAGTTTAACAGCAGAATTTGTGTCCCAAATGTCAATATTTTTTTTACGTTCTCCAAACACGACTAAAACTACAATCAAGCATTTTGGATGGAAAATAGAGGTCTCTTCTGGACTGTCTAGTCCCATTTAGGATTAGACACTTCGCTGTAGTGTGTGACCCCCTTTTTAATTATCTATTCATTTTTACTGCTTGTGGTTATTTTTAACACATCGGTAATATATAAAAACCCTACAATAGGTCAAAATATTATATTTTAAAAACAAAAAACACAACAAATATCCCCTGTCTCAAAAATGGTTTGCTCCTGGTCACCTTTCCAGACTCGGCTCTGTCCCTTCCTGAGTAGCTGCTGTGCTGCCATTAGTGTGACCAAGGTCCCTGCTTTCTGTGGGACAGTCCTGAATTTACATGACTTTTCTAGGTCCTGCTAACTGAGACACCGTCCAGCATTTTTTACTGTCTCCCATTTCGTCTTTGAATCTTGCATAAACTGATTGTGAGGGGGGAAAAGCGTCTGCTAATCAGGCCAGGAGGCGGGACTTTGACGCAGGTCCGGAGCGCACCGCTCACAAACCTCCGAACCAAAAGGAAATGACAGAATGATCCGAGACTCATGGGAGATGAATGCGGTGGAGAAATGCTGTTACAATAAAGACTGAAGGGTTAAAGCTGCTCAGGTTCCTCAGTAATCAGACGGGCTGGTGCTAAAGAAGCCCAATAATAAGATTCTAACACAGACAAGGTGGTTGTGTTGTTTCATAGCCAAACCCTTTTGAAGAGCATGAAAGAACAATTGAAATCATTTAATTAAAGCCTTGATTATTTATTCTGAGACTTTTGAGAAAAAAAGTCAGAGCATTAAGTTTAAATTTAACTTTTGTCAGTGATCAAAGTCAGTGATTTTTGTTTTCTCTCCCCTAAATATCTACTGTATGAGATTGTCATTTTTGCAGGACCACCATTTTTTTTGCTAGTTTTTAAAATTAAGAAGAAAAAAATTTAAAAATATAAAAAAAGTTTGGATTTTCCTTCAATGGGATGTTGATGTTAGTGTGGAATCAGGTGAAAATAAGTATAAATTGATTTAAACATATTACTGGTACTGTTGGTGTCATTCTGTTGTGGAAATTCAGACAAAGCTAAGAGGGAAAAAAAGGCTTCAATTTCAGGTTTCCAAACCAAATGTTCTGCTCATTGAGCATATTTAATCTGCTCATAATTTAAAACTACAACACCTGGACCAGTGGTTCCCAATCTGGGGTCTGTGATCCATCAAGGGGATCCTCACAAAATTTGTGGGGATCTCAGCACATACAAGCAAGCACCTTGTGATTCTTATCTTGAAAAAAGATCAAAAATCAAAAAGATAATTTCATGTTTGTGCTGAGATTGTGAGGTTACCACACAGCCAAGGGATCCTCATGGACAGAAGATTGGGAACCACTGACCTGGACCAGATTCTGCTACAGTGCTAGCAGAATCTGTTAAACATATACATAGTGATGTGTAAAACCATAATTTGATCATTGAAAACAGTGTTTTTGTATTATTTTAGACATGTGAGAGTGACATTGTGCTAAAATGTTGAAATGTATCTTGCCTGACCAGGCAGATCTCTGGGTGCTCAACATCCTTAAACCTCTGATGCTAGAATCGCCCCAGACGGTTGGCTTTATGTAAAAATAGTTTGAATACTAGTTACTTGTTCAAATCCTCCACAGATGTATTGTGGGTAATTGCAAGAAGGCATGTGTCTGAGTGACTATTATACATCAGTGTGTGTGTGTCCGTATGTTTGCTTGTCGAGTAAAGGTTGCAGTGAAAAAGATAGTCTTGGACATTTAAACACGTCTGGTCTAAATCCGGTCCAACAGCGGTGTTTCGAACCTGACAAAGTGCTTCTTTTGAGGACATTGATGGAACTTTGTTTCTCTGTTTTTCAGTCAGAAATGTAAGCTCTGTCTGTATCAAAGGAATCCGCATCTCTCTGGTAATTGTTTCTGAGAACAGCATTGAAGAAAACCCTGAGGCCTTATTTATTTATTTATTTTCGGACCTAATTAGATTGGGTTCATTTTGGTGGGAGACTGTGTGGGATAAAAGTGGAGCTAGTTGTTGGCATATCAAGTGTCTGGTTCTTTTTTTGTTTTTTACCTTACTTTCAGCGTTTTCTCTCTGTCTGGCCGTAGAAGTCAGCGTTGTGTGAAACCCAATGAGATAAGTGAATAAATAGCCCGATTTGTATCTAACTGGTGGTTGCTCTGTGTGATGTCTCAACATGGAAGACCTCTGACACATCAACCAATGACCTGATTAAACTTAGTGTTGAGCTGTCGGTGCTCACTCTCTGTTAACATACTCTCCATCCTCTCTGCAGCTGGCCACGTGGGACTCGGTTCAGAAACTGAACGGCAGCCTAAAGGAGAGTCGGATCGAGAACGGCATGCAGGGAGTCACAGTGAAAGTGGTCACTTTACTGGTAGGTTGCCACTGATTCTACTTCACACTGCTTTTTATAAAAGTTTGGATAATATTAATAATGAACAAATTCTTTAAAATCTTTCAAATTCAAATCAACAACTTTGTCCTTAGCTATATTAATTTTTCTATCGAGTCCCACCCCTAATATATACACATAGTACAGGCCAAAATTTTGGACACACCTTCTCATTCAATGCGTTGTCTTTATTTTCATGACCATTTACATTTGGAGATTCTCACTGAAGGCATCAAAACTATGAATGAACACGTGGAGTTATGTACTTAACCAAAAAATGTGAAATAACTGAAAATATGTTTTTTATTCTATTTTCTTCAAAATAGCCACCCCTTTGCTCTGATTCCTGTTTTTCACACTCTTGGCATTCTCTTGATGAGGTTCAAGAGGTAGTCACCTGAAATGGTTTTCCACCAGTCTAGAAGGAGTTCCCAGAGGAATTGGCCTCTTTGTCAATGGTTATGGTCATTAAGAAAACAAATATTAAGTGAGAAAGCGTGTCCAAATTTTGGCCTATACCATATATATAGGCAGTTCCTGGTATTGGTTAAATTTTACAGTTACTGGTAATGGTATCAGTATTGGCCTGTATCGGTGCATTCCTAACCAAAGGATTGGATCAAATCTTAACAGCACAACCCTCCATTCTGAGCAGCCCAGTATAAAAGCCACCAAAGGAAAACTCTAAACTGAACTAGAACCCGGATAGACCAACATGGCCCTTCCTATATAAGATGAACAGAAACATGGACAATAAAGTTGATAGAGTGGTAAAAAGTTGCATAACCAAAAGGGATGAGCCAGGATAATTCAAGCTAACCCTAACTGGAGGATTTATCAAAGGAAAGTCTTAAGCCATTCTTAAAAGTAGAAGGGGTATCTGCCTTTGATTGAAACTGTTCACTGATAGATATGCAGCACATAAACAAACAAACAAAAAACTACAAACCCCAGAATGCATCTGGACAGGCGCTTGATCCTAGCCTTCCAAGAACTACCCCTTACATATCATCATTCATCCATCCATTTTCTGAACCCACTTCGTCCACACAGGGTCGCGGGGGGGTGGCTGGTGCCTATCTCCAGCGGTCAATGGGCAATCAGGCGGGGTACACTCTGGACAGAGTGCCAGTCCATCGCAGGGCAACACAGACACACACAGGACAAACAATCATGCACACACACACACTCACACCTAAGGACAATTTGGGCAGACCAATGAACTTAACAGTCATGTTTTTGGACTGTGGGAGGAAGGCGGAGTACCCGGAGAGAACCCACACATGCACAGGGAGAACATGCAAACTCCATGCAGAAAGATACCAGGCCGGGAAGTGAACCCAGGACGTCCTTGCTACAAGGAAACAGCTCTAACCACTGCGTCACTGCGGAGCCCTACATATCATACATTCTGAAAACAGGTGAGAGGTAGCAGCTTCATTGCTGCACATTTTGACAACTTGGATATTTGAACTCGAGTTGACAGAATGTGACTCTGCATGCTGCGCAGTTCAACACCTTCCTCCTGTCACGCTGCTCAGGGGACTTCTGTTCACCTGGACATTCACACACCTGAGCAGCTTTTCTTTGTAACGAACATAATCACTCACAGTCTGCCAATGAGCGACCCTGAGAAATCACATGACTCATCCTAAAAAAAAATGTTTTCATTCATTTGCTGGTACAAGGGTTTGTCGGTGAAAAACAAGAACAAACTGCAAAACATTGTCAAAATCTGCTCTAAAATCATTGGAGTTAAACAAAGACCTTCAGTCTCTATGGGAGGAGCAGGCGCTAAAGAAGGCTAAATGTACTTTGGGTCAGCATCTCCACGTGCTACACTCGGAGGTCCAGCTCATGCCCTCAGGGCATCGTTTTTATGTACCCCCTCGGAAAACAAATCGTTTTCCTAACTCTTTTATGCCTTCTGTTATTGACCTGTTAAACTTTAAAGGAGGTGTGACTAAGAAACTTGGACCCTGAAGAGGAGCCCGTTGTGAGGGCTACTCATCACTAGGGCCTTTATGTTGGTAGGGACACAATAATTAATTAATTGATTGATTGATGGTTTGACTGATTGTTTGTAATGTTTCTTGTGTTTTTATGTTTTTATTGTATGCTACAAGTAAATTGCCCTTTGGGACCAATAAAGTTTTCTGACCCTGAATCTAAAACATTTAAACCTATAATGAAAACCGCCCATAACTCATGATCTCATTTTGTTGCCATTTCCAGCAGGTCATTGTCCACCAGGGAGAGCCCCAGTTTGCAAGGGTTTGTTTTTATTTTAGAGACATTATTGTTTTAATAAAAGGCAGGGTCTGTTTTATGAAGTTATTGTTACACTATCTGTGGCTCCTGAGGTTAATTCTTCTTTTAACTTCAATAATTATTTTATAAAAAACATCAACCTTCACCGACAACAATCCCTCGCTCACTAAAAAAGCCTGTCCTCTTTCCTTTTCTCTTTTTCTGGGAGTTTTTATCATTCTCGCCCAAGTTTCCTCACCCCAATGTTTCCTTGTAAGGCATCGATCCACCACTCGGGCTTAAGCAGCTCCTCTGTTCAGTGTGATTAGTGTAAGAGATACAAACAGAGTGTTTTTAAGCCTGTGATCCCACAACAGCAGCAGGCAGCTCTGCTGATGCTCAGTTTCTCCTCCGCTGTCAGAGCGGCGCCGAGACGCAGGTTTAACCAAGCAGGACTAATACCTTCACCCTGCGGTTCATCGCCTGCTGCTCCTGCAACACTTCCAGGTGTCAGCGCTGCCAAGTAGCAACACAAACCCAGACTCACACGACCAGAGAGCCGGCGCTGTGATGCACATCTGGATTCAAATGATATTTACAGCTGCAGCTCAATTTCCCCTCAGAGTGCACAGTCCATTTAACTTCCTGTTTTCATGTGAATCTGCCGTTTGTTGAGGCACGAGGGAGATAGCTGTCTCCCTCTCCAGCGCTGAGACTTTTATCCTCACTTCTCTCCCTCTGACTGCTCATAGGAGGATCCGTTTGTCATGGTGGCAGAGAACATCCTCGGGCAACCGAAGAGATATAAAGGCTTCTCCATCGATGTCCTGGACGCTCTGGCTAAAATCCTGGGCTTTAAATATGAGATCTACCAGGTCAGACTACAAAACGCAGGAGCACGTTTAAACTTTACAATAAATCATTTAAAAGAGTGCAGTCACCAAGTTACAGTTAAAAATGCAGTAGGAGGCATTTCACTGAGATGTTAGCGCTGATGAGTTTGTCCTCTCAGTGGGGGCTGAATGTTTATTAAACTGGAGCAGGTGAAGTCACTTTCTGCTGTAATGGTTTAAAAAGTTGGCTACATAAAAAGTCTGACCCTTAACACGTTTTCTTTCAGGTTGCAGACAGTAAATATGGCTCTCAGCTTCCCAACGGATCATGGAACGGGATGATTGGCGATCTCATCAACAAGGTGAAAGAATCCTGATTTTGAGTTTTCAGTCTAAAATCAGGCTCTCATGAAATCTGAATTCTTGAGGTCAAACAGACGCAGTTTGACTCCTGATGTATTCAGACTTTCTGCTGAGCATCAGACACCTTTAGGAGTTCAGCACACATCAGATACTTATTCCACAGAATAGACTCTGGCAGGTGACCTCCCAGAGTGTAACACACCTGTCTGCCTCCATTTCCCTTGTCTTCATCCTATAGAGAGCCGACCTTGCCGTGTCAGCCATTACCATCACACCAGAGAGGGAGAACGTGGTGGACTTCAGCAAGCGATACCTAGACTACAGTGTCGGCATCCTGCTGAGAAAACCCGAAGAGAAGATAAACATCTTCTCTCTGTTTGCCCCGTTCGACCTGGCCGTCTGGGCCTGCATTGCTGCTGCCATCCCGGTGGTGGGAGTCCTCATCTTCCTCCTCAACAGGTTGCAGTCTCTGCGCTCCTCATCCTCCCAGAATGCACCGGGTCAGCTATCCAACGATGTGGGGTCAGGCACACTGCACAGTGCAATCTGGATTGTTTATGGAGCCTTTGTGCAGCAAGGTGAGCAGATGGTCGGAACCCGGTCAGAGAATCCAAACTCGGAGAAGTTTCAGAACAAACACAACAGATCGTTTATTTAGATGTCAAAAACGAGCAGAGAAGTTTAAGGAGTAGAATGTTCTTGAGTGAGGACGTCTGGTCTGAGGTCAGTGGGTGGATGGTTACAATACTGCATTACTTGGTTCTTTGTTTTAACACAGAGAAGGGTAGTTTTATCTTCTTTTGCTGACGTTTCAACCACTCCTGCAGACTTCTTCAGAGCTCGCTGCTGTTGGCGACATCACTTCATTCTCCATTTATTCGCAGGCAGCAGAGGACGGTGTCCCCCTCTGCTCTGAGTCTGACAAGAAGCCATAAAACTGGGCAGAATGTCCACTAACACTACCATTTTTGTCCTGAGTTGTGTTTCTGTGGAGCATGCAGATCACCTTGCACTGTTTACTGATCACCTCATGCTATTTTTGTGGCACTCACCATTGCGAGTGCCACGGGTCTCCCCCTTCCCTCCCCCACGCCTCTGAGGGATGCACCGACTTTACTGTCAGAGAGTGGAAACACAGATACACACGAGCTGACTAAATCCACACTGCACAGCTGTTTCAGGCTGAGTGGGGCCCTTCCAAAACTAGCCTTCGTGTTTCTGGTGTTGATAATTTGAACTCAGTATGTGATGGAAATGCCTCCCAGCTTCTCACACGACAAACTTGAACACAGCGTCAGTAAAACTGACGAGTTAAAGTCATTTTAACGTTTTATCATGTTAGTTAGGCGTGGCAATGAGTTGATTTCAAAAGTTAGTTAGCTAGATGTTCCTTCAGTGAGTTCTGTTTCAGTTACAATGCAGGTCTATCCTGCCGTTGGCACACACACACACACACACTCACACACACACACACACACACACACACACACACACACTGATGTCACCTTTAATGAAAAGGTGTCTAGTTCAGGAGTCTGAAACCAGATGGTCCTCACGAAGATAGAAAGCATTGACAGTGTCACAAACAAACACACGCGTGCACCGACCAACACTCAGAGGCAGAAATGGACCTTCTCAGATCATGACAAACGGGCTTGGGCTGGGACACACACTGTTTCCTGGCAGATGCATCTGTTCTGGTCTGCCACGGAAACTTATCCCTGACAGGTTGTAATTAGGAGCAGCATTTCTGTTTGCCGTGATAAAACGCCACTCTCTAGCATTCAGCAATTAAGCAACCTGTGTGGTCTCTGAGGGGTCACAGGTCCGATACCTGCACCGTGTGTGCACCTGTGTCATGACAGACTCGGCAGTTTCCTGCTGTGATAAACCGCGTATATTTAGTGTTGCAGTAATGATTAATGTGTCATAGGTGTGCCTGTGTGTGTGTGTGTGTGTGTGTGTGTGTGTGTGTGTGTGTGTGTGTGTGTGTGTGTGTGTGTGTGTGTGTGTGTGTGTGTGTGTGTGTGTGTGTGTGTGTGTGTGTGTGTGTGTGTGTGTGTGTGTGTGTGTGTTTGCAGGAGGGGGCAGTGCAGTCGGCTCAGTGGCTCTAAGGATCGTCATGGGCAGCTGGTGGCTCTTCACTCTCATCGTGTGTTCGTCCTACACGGCCAACCTGGCAGCATACCTCACCGTGTCACGCATGGACCATGCTATCCGGTAAGTCACACACTGACATCAATAGTTGTGTGTTTGCGTGTGTGTGTCACGTTGACACAAACAGCTGCCTCTGCTGCTATCTCTCCTCCTGGAAACTTACATTTGGATCCAACCAGATTCTGACCCTCTGATCCCTGAAGGACCTCTGGTCCCCTGGTCCAGTAAGCTCTGGTTCTATCAGCTGTAGATGTGTGATGGTGCTGGATGTGGTCCCATCTTTGGAATCCCACCTGCTCTCTTGTTTTTCAGACACTGAATCTTCTTCATTTCTCCAATAGTTTTACTCTGTAGAGAAGAACTTTGTACGTTTGTCCTTGAGTGATTTTGAATCTGATATTGAGTTAAATTGGATACTTTCACATTTTTGATCCTCAAAGAATTTTACAGATTTTACCTTCGGATCAAATTAAATGTTAGTCTTAAACTGCTTCCATGCTAACATTTTACAACCTGAAACAAATGGATTTAAGATTGGAACGGCATGAAACTGTTTCATTTGAAGTCAAGTGGAGTTTCTCTTTAACGTGATTAACCCCGGTTTCACACTAAAAGCATCGGCGGTGCGGAACGGAAGCAGAACATCAGTCCTTCAAATAGAATCCATCACAGTCTATGGAGTGTTTCAAACCAGCAGCAACGTGGCAATTTCCAGGTGCGTCCCAGATGTGGCACGCCGTGCCACTAAAGATAGGATCATGTTCTATTTTAGCCGCGTGCTGCTTCTGGGATGCATCAATTTCCACAGTTAGTATATGGCTAGGCAGGAAATCACACACCGTTTCAATGTAAAATCACCAGTAAATTTCAAAATAAAAGTACTGCAGCGATACAATTTCATACATATGACGCTTACATGTGACCCAACAGCTTATTTACTCACTGCATCATTCCAGAGGAGCTACAGTGTGTTTTCATGGCTTTAATCCTGGCAGTGGAGAGAAACCACATCATCTAGAAAACAGCGATATCAAACGGGAATTCTTTCTTTTTGCTTTTATGGCGGATTGCATAAACAAACCATGACCTGAAGTCTCGAGGGATCTTGTGATCTCAAGTCCAGCAAAGAGCACAGCGAGGAAGCCGTGCTGCTGCCAAGACTCTCCCGGTGTGAAAACCGGGAGAGTCTTTATCTGTGAAGTTCATTTAGCTTTGAAGTTCACTAGTAACCTGTTCTGTTGTCATTTCGCGCCGCTGATGCTTCCATTGTGAAACCGGCGTAATAGGGATGACTTGATTTTATTCTGATAAGGTGAGTTGAATCAGTTCAGTCTAAACAAGACTGAGCCTGAAGATCTCAGACTGTAGACACTTTGTTGAAACCTACAAGACCAGCTCACTCATTTGATTCTCCATTGTTATGGCTACCAGCCTGGCCATTGGGATACGGGGCCAGGATCACCCAGCCCTGGTGATCCGCCCGACACCGCCCCTCCTCCTCCTCTCTTCCAGGCTGCTGAGGAGCACAGCTGAGCTGAATCCTCCTGATGACCGACACCTGGGATAAAAGGGCTGTGCCTTCAGAAGTCTGGGTGGCTGCAGAGCAGGGGTTCTGCTGTCCTCCAGGCCTCGTGTTTTTTTTTAACCCCTAAGATTAGAAGAGTTTTTACTGTCACAGTTTTAACTCTGTGTGATCCACATCCAGAGGATAGTTAGGGTCTTTGGAGTTCAGTTCACCTGAACAACGTTTGGAGAAACATTCCTGAAGACATGTGCTGCTCTGAAACAGTTTAGGGAACAGATTCAGAGCTGGACTGTAGCTGTTGAACAAACGCTAACTCAGACCTCCTCTTCTATCTGGTGCTGATCTCACCCCTTATTTCTTTAGAACCATGAATATCCCAGTCCTCACAGAGTGTCTTGTGTCCTTCAGGTGCAGGTGGACAGTGAAGCCTGGGTTATTTTCATGCATTTTTATTTACTAAGCTTCTGTTTGAGTTCTGTGCTATTTTTGTTTTTCTTTGATTTTTGGCAGATTGCTTTACTATATCTTTAAAATTAGATATTTAAGACCCTGTCTGAGTTTCTATTGTCTGTGGACCTGTCCTAACATGTTCCTTTTCTTCTGTTCTGGTGGGGATTTTGTCAGACCAATGGTGTAATGTTCTTTGGCCTGGTGAGTGATGTGGGTCTAGATGCAGATTCTGGTCGGTGTGTGGAGGTCAACTCTAGACCTCCAGGTTGAAATGTTTGCTTTCATCAGAGTTTTTCTTTCCTGATCAAACCGATGAAGTGAATACGCCTGCATGAGGCTAGAAAAGAGTTGAAGTCCTCTGATCTGACAAACCTCTCATGTGAAGTGAACACGGCCTTATGATAAATTCAGAAGCGTTGCTGAAAATGTCCCTCCATGAAGATGTGGCACGGTTCAAGTACTTAATGCACGTGGAAAAGGCTCAAACAGCTAATGTGATGGTGAAGAACTGGCCAACCTCTGCCCTCTAAAAGTGAAATATGTTGCCTTTCTAAACTATTTCAAAGTTCAAATATGATTTTTAAAAATCTGAGTTACATAAATTAATTTTTATTGTTAACAAAAAACTGCTTTAGTCAGAAGTTGCAAACAGGAAGGAAGATTTTTTTCTATTATGTTGGTGTTTGTGTCTCTGTTTTTATCCTGAGGTTTATTTTATTACTGAAGGCAATTTTTCAGATTGTTTGTGTTTGTCAGGATGATTAAAAGTGTGGATTCATCTGCTGCAGGAAATGGTTCTGATGGAAAAACAGCTTACTCCCATCGGAGCAAAAGCTGTGTCCTGCTGTCTTTTTAAAATTACAAACCTCTTATTTTGCTGGAGCTGTGTTTTTTAAATTTTGTGATCAAAGGAGAATATGAATGAAAAAGCCACTTGTCTTTAATTGAAAGCTGTTTCTCAGGGTTTCTGCGTTAGGCTGATGAAGATGCTTTTCATATGACAGATTTTATTTACAAACAGGTCCTGGTCCTGAGTACTATTATAGGTGCAAACAAACAGAACTACCAACAAACAACCTATAAAAGTACTCAGGACCAGTTTGCTCCAGCCATTCTTTCTCCTGTACATAAATCAGTCAGTGTCAGGGGCTTTAAACATCACCTTGAAAGTGTCTGAAACATACTTGTGTGTGATTTTGGCATTAGTGTGAGAACAATGTCTCTTGCAAAATAGACAATTATTTCCAATTACTGTATTTAGTACAGACAGAAACCTGGTATCTAAAGGGTTAAGAGTGAGGCAACAATATGATTTAAGTTCATTTAAGTACTGTGTAATAAAGGATGAGTACAAATACTCTATTTTGATTAAAGCCCTCATTTTGTGATATTAAATTTTATCTATTAAATTACACGAAGCTCGAGGTGGAAAAATGACTGACCTAATGAGTTTATTTCTTTATTGTACGTCTCTATAAATATAGAAGTTTTATTTGATAGTTAATATATTTCATAGAATGTTTATCATGCAGTGCTGTTAGAAATACACAGTAAAAATGAGTTTATTAGAAATAGTAACAAATAAACTTTTCTGTGTAATCTGTCATATTTTTTTCTTTTTGCTTGAAGTTTGAGACCCATTCACAGTGCTGTAATTTAAATTACACAATTGTAAAATTTAATTCAAATTATTATCGTCTCGTAACTCAGCTGTAAAGATGTCAGAAAGTTTGAACAGACGTTAGAAAGCAGCTCAGCTGAGAGGGGTGAACTTATTTCTCCTCTCAGATGTTTCAGCCTGATTACTCAAACCTGAAAACACAAACTCGGCCTCAGAAAACTGCATCAATCAAAGCGCTGAGGCGTGTGTGGTGTTCAGTGTCACTGAGTGTCGTCCTGCTGCTCAGTGCTGCAGGCGGCACATCAAATCCGGTGTATTATTCCCTCTTGTTGTCGTGTTCAGTCCGATAAAGCAAGCGTGGTCGAACATCAGAGTCGTCCTCTTATCATCTGATTTAAGCACCAGCAACCTCGTGTTTCTGTGTGAGTCTGCTCAGATTTCATGTTCAAAGACCTGCAGCTTTATGTACAGTCCAGGCTTAGACACAAGCACACCCTGGAGCTTCTGTAGGGTCAAAAGCTGCTTAGTAATCCTGACTGGCCAGATTCTGTAAGGAAATTCAGGTTTTTCACAGAAGATGGCATGGCTTCTGTTGTGGCTGGTTTCAATGAAAGTAAATAAGGATAAGATCACAGAAATCAGCCTAACTGGGCTGTAAAACAAGTCAGATACAAATAAACGAATAAACATCAAGGTTTTTAATCCTTTTTATCTCAGACTGACATCAGCCAATGAACAACAAAGGTCATCATTTCCTTTCACACAGGGATAAATCTCTTTATTCAGAGACATACTTGGAATTACTTTTAGAATAATCCAGCCGCCTTCACATTTCTGAGCCAATTCAAAGAGCAGACAGGAATAATAGGAATGATTTTCTGACTGAAAGGGAGTGAAAGCTGTCTATTATTTAGTAAATAAGAGAGTTATATTAAACAGATTTATTTGGTCAACAATTAAAAAAACTACTTGCAGGTCAAAGGTCAGATGGATTTAGAAAAACTCAGAGTTGTGAGCATGTCATGCTGCACTGGAAACAAATTCCACCAACTTGTTGTGTGGTCATTAACAATGGCCTGTATTTAATATAGCGCGTTTAAGATTGCTGGAACCCCCCAAGGCACTTTACAACACAATCAGTCATTCATCCATTCACACCCTGGTGGTGATGAGCTACGACGTAGCCACAGCTGCCCTGGGGCGCACCGACAGAGGCGAGTCTGCCGAGCGCTGGCGCCTCCGGTCCCCCTGACCACCACCAGCAGGCAAGGTGGGTTAAGTGTCTTGCCCAAGGACACAACAACATCAACAGACTGAGTGGGGCTCAAACCTGCAACCTTCCGATTGCCGGGCAAGCACTAAAATCCTGTGCCACCGTTACCCCATTTATTCATTACTAAATGAATCTGAATCTTATCAACCCTCACCTATGGTAAGCTTTGGGTAGTGACCGAAAGAACAAGATTGTTCATACAAGCGGCTGATATGAGTTTTCTCTGCAGGGTGTCTGGGCTCTTCCTTAGAGATGGGGTGAAAAGCTCAGTCATCCGGGAGGGATTCAGAGTAGACCCGCTGCTCCTCTGCGTCGAAAGGAGCCAGTTGAGGTGGCTCAGGCATCTAGTTAGGATGCCTCCTGGATGCCTCCCAGGTGAGGTTTTCGAGGCACGTCCAACCAGTAGAAGATCTAAAGGAAGACCCAGGACATGCTGGAAGGACTATGGCCCTGTCCACACGTAGCCGGGGATCTGCCAAAACGTAGATTCCTCTCCCGCGTGTGGATCCTCACCTCCATTTCACTCACTGGCACACCTGACAGAATGAACCAACCCAGTGAAGGATCTTGCGGGGAGGTTCTTCCTTGGGAGTGTTTACTCCAGTTTTTAACCGCAGATCACCGGCCGGCTTCTCCTCCTCTGGCCTCGTCTCGCCGCAGATGCCATCGCCGAACCCCGGCTGCGACGATCCCCTCGCTGCAGCTCCGGCTCGGCGCGCCAGCTTGGACCCGCCGCCAGTCAGACCAGCAGTCCCATCTCCGGTCCAATCAGCACCTCCGTCATCGGCAGGCGGAGGGACCACGCCTACAGCCCAGCTGACAGAGCTCGCCGGCCTCCAGGCGGAGCTTGGCCGGATCCGTCAGCTCGTCAGCCTCCAGGAGTTCCAGCTGGACACCCTATCCTCCCCGAATTACCAGGAGAAGGTTCCGGTTCAGTCTGCAGCTCCCTCATCTCTTGGCCAAAGGATCGAACCCGCAGTCCACCCAGCAGAGCTCGCCGGTCTCCGAGCTGAGCTGGCCCAACTCCATCAGAGCCTCAGTCTCCAGGAGCTCCAGCTGGACAATCTATCCTCCCTGCTCTCCCAGTTTCCGGCACCACCAGTTCAGTCAGCTCCTGTCCCAGCGGTGGTCCCGGAGGTTAAACCACATCCATTTCCCGTGGTGGTCCGGGAGGTCGCACCGCATCCAGTCCAGCCTGTCCAAGTGGTCCAATCTGTAGCAACTCCTCCTCCACTCCAGAAGCCGGCGGTCCAGAAGCCGACGCCCCCGTACCAGAAGCCGACACCCCCGAACCAGAAGTCGACGCCCCCGGACCAGAAGTCGATGCCCCTGGACCAGAAGTCGATGGTCCAGAAGCCGACGGTCCAGAAGCCGACGCCCCCGGACCAGAAGTCGACGCCCCTGGACCAGAAGTCGATGGTCCAGAAGCCGACGCTCCCGAACCAGAAGTCGACGCCCCCGGACCAGAAGTCGATGCCCCTGGACCAGAAGTCGATGGTCCAGAAGCCGACGGTCCAGAAGCTGACGCCCCCGGACCAGAAGTCGACGCCCCTAGACCAGAAGTCGATGGTCCAGAAGCCGACGGTCCAGAAGCTGACGCCCCCGGACCAGAAGTCGACGCCCCTGGACCAGAAGTCGACGGTCATGAAGCCGACGGTCCAGAAGCCGACGCTCCCGGACCAGAAGTCGACGCCCCCGGACCAGAAGTCGATGCCCCCGGACCAGAAGTCGATGGTCCAGAAGTTGACGGACCAGAAATCAACGCCCCCGGACCAGAAGTCGACGCCTCCGGACCAGAAGTCAATGGAGGTCGACGCCCCCAGTCTTGAAGTCGACGCCCCTTCCAGTCCTGTGGTCCACGCCCCTTCCAGTCCTGAGGTCGACACCCCTTCCAGTCCAGAGGTCGTCGTTCTCTCCAGTCCAGAGGTCGACGCTCTCTCCAGTCCAGAGGTCGACGCTCTCTCCAGTCCAGAGGTCGACGCTCTCTCCAGTCCAGAGGTCGACGCTCTCTCCAGCCCAGAGGTCGACGCTCTCTCCAGCCCAGAGGTCGACGCTCTCTCCAGTCCAGAGGTCGACGCTCTTTCCAGTCCAGAGGTCGACGCTCTTTCCAGTCTAGAGGTCGACGCTCCCTCATGTCCAGAGGTCGACGTTCCACGCTCCCTCGTGTCCAGAGGTCGACGCTCCCTCGTGTCCAGAGGTCGGCGTTCCCTCCAGTCCAGAGGTGGACGTCCCTTTCAGTCCAAGAGGTCGACGTCCCCTCCAGTCCGACGTCTCCGCCGTCTCCAATCCAGTGGTCGATGCCATCTCCAGTCCAGTGGTTGATGCCGTCTCCAGTCCTTTGGTCGACGCCGTCTCCAGTCCCGTGGTCGCCGCCATCTCCAGTCCCGTGGTCACCGCCGTCTCCAGTCCCGTGGTCGCCGCCGTCTCCAGTCCAGTGATCGACGCCGCCGCCTCCAGCCCAGTGGTCGACGCCGCCGTCTCCAGCCCAGTGGTGGACGCCGCCACCTCCAGCCCAGAGGTCGACGCCGACGCCTCCAGCCCAGGGGCCGCCGACGCCACCTCCAGCCGAGGGACCGATGCCGCCACCTCCAGCCCTGAGGTCATCGCCGCTGCCTCCAGTCCAGAAGTCAAAGACGTGTCCTCCGACGTCTCTGCCTCTGGTCACTGCCAGTCCTGCCCTCACCAGGCGCGGGCCCCCAAGAGCCCGTCGTCGCCTCCTCCTCTGCCACAGACGCAGGACTCCAAGAGCCCGTCGTCGCCTCCTCCTCTGCCACAGATGCAGACCCCCAAGAGCCCGTCATCGCCTCCTCCTCGGCCACAGACGCAGGCCCCCAAGAGCCCGTCGTCGCCGCCTCCTCTGCCACAGATGCAGGCCCCCAAGAGCCCGTCGTCGCCGCCTCCTCTGCCCCAGGCGTAGGCCCCAAGAGCCCGTTGTCACCTCCTCTGCCCCAGGCGCAGGTCCCCGGACTCTACTGGTCCCTGCCTCCTCTCCGTCGGTCCCTCGGCCCTCCCTCCGGGTCCCCCTTTTCCCGCCCTGCTCTATTTTCCTGTGGGCGTCCGGAATCTGCCCTTTGGGGGGGGGGGGGGGGGGGTACTGTCACACCCTGCCCTGTCTCCCCATTCGGTTCAGTCCTGTGTTCATGTTAATTGCTCCCACCTGCCTCTCATCTCCCAATCCCCCAAGGTCCCAGCTCCTCCTGTATTTAAACCCTGTTAGTCCATTTTGTCTGGTTGGTTCATTGTTTCATTGTCCTGCATGTCTCATTAAAACCCTTTAAATGTTCCTGTCTGCCTGCCTGCCTCCTTCCTCACCCGCGTGTGGATCCTCACCTCCATTTCACTCACTTGCACGCCTGACACCCTGCAGGTAGATCTTGTTCTTCACATTTTCACAGGAGTCGCATACCTCAGCATTTTCTTTTTTAAAAGCAGTTTTACCGGTAGTTTCCCTTCGTTTGTTGTTGTTAAAGTCCACAGGTAACTGAGACAGTTCTTCTAAAGAGGAAAGAGAAACTGCTTTTCTCAGGCATGAGCACTCCCACTTCCCGACACCTTAGACAGAATGAGTTGCCCAGCTTAGGTGCATCATCATTTATTTTTAGTGAGAGTAAAGAATCTCATCTCTCAGCTGCGATCTGCAGCGTCATCCTCTCAAGTATCAAGTCCAAGATGACACTTTCATCTGTGAATCCAATCGCTGCGTGAAGGACAAACCGTCACTTTTCACTGACTATCAGTGAGTCCCGAAATAAAGAGGCATAGAGTGGGATCAGTTTGACAACTTTCACGGCTGTCGCCAAAAGAAACTCACATTGAAAACGCTTCGTCACACAGATGGGTCGATGTTCTGATTCTGGATTCAGATAAACACATCTGAGTGGTTTATTGTCTGTGAGATTCCAGTTGACACCAGCTGCATAACAGAATATAAAACAAGATGTTTGCTGTTCCTCAGAAATAATAGATATATAAATTGGTGCCTTTAACTCCAGGGGCATAAAATGCATTGTGGGTGAATTATACATGAGTTTATCTCGCTGGATAAAAGCCAACTGATTCAAACAGGTTGAGATTAAACAAACTAATGTGATGACACACAGAGAGCTTTAAGACTCCCTACCATAAAGAACAAGACATCTGTAACCAGTTGTGTTTAATATGAGGTCCTTCAGAGTAAATCTAATTCCTGTCAGTTGTTTTCATTGTGGGTCAGAACCTAGAGCCAGAATCTACAGAACTGTTAGCATTTAACTACTGAAGACAGAACACACATCAGGCTTTTTGAATTTCAGCTAAACTCTAATAAAAAGTGAGTTTTTAGCGTTTTTCAGCAGAATGGCTTGTATAGATAACTTTCAACTAAACATCCAATCTTATAGTTCCTTATTTTTGCAGAGAGCGAACTCAGTTACAGAAACATGGACCATGCACTCTTAAAGACCCACATCCTGTGCTTGTGCAACCTGCAGATCTTTCCAAGACCTGGCAAGGCAGAATGATGTGGACTATGGGACGGTGAGGGACTCCGCTGTGTATGACTACTTCAGGAACAAAGGCATCAACCCTCTGGAACAGGACAGCACCTATGCAGAGCTATGGAGAACCATCAGCAAGAGCAACGGCATGGACTACTCTGTGTCGAGTCCGTCGGAGGGAATCCGCAAGGTTCGTGTCTCGGTCTTCTTCTAAAGTCCATTCGATGGGTTCAAATTCTAAAATCTAAACACAATATTTTAGAAACTTATTGTGTAAAACTAATCTCACTCTCCTGCATTAGTTAACAGGTTTTTATTAGTTGAAAACAAAAACATATGATTAAATTACAGGTTGTTTTGGGGGAGCAGTGCAGGAAAATGAACCATATGATGTTGCAATCGTTTCTACAAATGATTATTAAATAAAACACAGGGTACTGTTTTTTCTCAGCAGGCAAACATACACATGTGAGAATATTCAAATTTTAAAAAACGTGTCTCACCTCTCTAAACTGAAAATTCCGCACTCTAACTTTTGAACTTCACATCTTCTGTGAACAGCTCTTTACTACCCCCAGACCGTTTGGACTACCGAAACAAAGTATATCTCAAAAAGTAGGAATTTTTGTCAGCTTTTCAGAACGGGTCTCATTTTGTCCTTAAGTGTTACATTTCTTTCTCTACAAGCCTCAGAAGGCGAGACCCTGATTCTGTCTCACTGAAACCCATGTTAAAGGAACAGAGATTTTCTATATCGATCAATACACTCACAGCATGTGATACATCAAATCGACCAGCTTGGTCTCAGGAATCTTGTATTAAATTTTAAATGCGTTATCTTTTACCATGGTAACATAAGTGCATAAGGATATCCCCAAACAAGTCTCATTGAAATTAATGCGAAAAGCCTAATATTGAGCCTATAACATACTGCTGTTTCTTATCTTTCTAAGCTCTATACACTTAAAATTAGCAGCACAGCTGACATTTTAACACTAGTCAGAAGGCAGGAAACGCCCCCTCCTCCTTCGCTGCTCTCTCATTGGCTGAGAGTTTTCAATCGTCTTCTGCCTAAAAGGAAATATGCACCCACACATATGATACATCAGTTCATCCTGCTTGATCCCAGGAGTCTTGTATTAACTTGATATTGTGTTCTGCGTTACAATGGCAACGTGCTTAGCAACAGCATTTAACAACATTTTAAACACAACTGTATCAGCATACTTTAATATAGAAATGTTATTCAAAGTTTAAAAGAGTAATGTGACATTGTCCATTGCTTTATTAAAACAGACGCCAGTCATCTGTTACCATGGCAACACAACTACAAATCACTTTAACCAAGTCTCATAGGAATTAATATAAAAAAGCTGAATATTGAGCCAATAACAGACTCTTGTTTTTGATCTTTTTGAACTATCTGTACTTAAAACTAGAAACAAGTTAAATCTGATTGACCGTCAGAAGGTGGGAAGGTGACCCACTCCCTCCCAGCTCCCTGATTGGTTGAGAGAGGCCAATCATCTTCGGCTAAATGGAATTACACACCCAGACATGTGAGACATCAAATCGATCGGCTTGGCCTAAGCAAGCAATCAATCCATCCATCCATCCAATAAATCCTCTAACATCCATCCAACAGTCCGTCCATCATTTCATTCATCCAACCATTCATCAATTCCATACCAAGTCTGAGCATATGTTAATCTATCAGTTTCAGATATCAGTAAATGTTTCTAACTTCACAGTTCAGCCAATTGTAAAAATGTACCTATTAAATTGTTCTCATTCAAATTCCAGCTGTTTAAACATTTCAACTTTTGAGTTTTTAATCAATGTTCAAAGATTTGTTTTCTGCTGTTTAGCATTTTTTTGTCCATTCTCCACCTATAGTCTGAGCTTTATTACAATTGTTGGTGATTTTTGCTTCTAAATCTTTAAATACATTCAGCTCATTTTGACAGTTAAGCTTAGTTTCAGCTTCACTTCAGCTATTCAGCAGCTTCAGCAATCAGTTTCCAAATTTAGCATTTGATGCTAATTTCACAGTTCAGCTAAATGCAAATATTAAACTGTTAAACTTGTCCTACTGAAATATCAGTTGTTTAGACATTTTAGCTGTCCAGATTTTTATACAATGTTCACAGATTTCAGTTTTCTGCTGTTTAGGATTATTTTTCTCTATTATTCACTTACTTTTTGTGTTTTACTTGGTCGTTGGTGCTTTTTGCTTCCACATCTTTGAATACATTCAGCTCATTTTGACAGTTTTGCTTAGTTTCAGCTTCACTTCAACTATCCAGCAGATTCAGCTTGCAGTTTAAGCTATCCAGCATTCAAACAGCATTTCTGCAAGAAATGCAATTTATCTAGTTAACCAATTGCAACAGCAGTTGAACAATGCACTGATTAACTAAACACTTTGTGTATATTTTAAAACACAACTTGTGTCATTATGTCTATAGAACAGATTAGTGTCAGAGGCAAATGGACTCTGGGAGCACCTATTTTATTTCCCCAGTTCTGACATTCCCCATCCAACTGCTCCGACCTGATTCAGACCCGGGTCAGGATGTGTTGCCACGTTTTCCATTCCTCACACAGCTGTTCCTCTGCCTGTAAAATTCTGTTTATAGGAGGATGAATGGATCCATTTAGATTTAAAGACCCAGCCCTAAAAATAGACAGATTTGAGAAATTGATTACAAAGGTTAGTTTAAACTGAGTGCTTCTGATTGTTTTTACCTTAAGTTTATTACTTATAAGAAACTAAAATACCTTAAAAATCATGTCTCCAGGCAAAGAAGACTCCCTACGCCTTCCTGTGGGACATGGCAGTGCTGGAGTACACGGCGCTGACGGACGACGACTGCACCGTCACCGTGACAGGAAGCAGCGTGAGCAGCAAAGGTTACGGCATCGCCATGCAGCACGGCAGCCCCTACAGAGATCTCTTCTCACAGAAGTAAGTGAGCTTCAGACTGAGAGATCAGACTCAACAGCTGCTCAGGGATCAGCTGACAGACCTGGTTTGGTTCAACTTAAAAAATAAACACTGAGTGACTCATCAATTTAAGACAGGTCAGATCAGTGATGTGGAAACAGCTGATTAGGTTTATGCTCATCGTGTGTAAATCTGCTCCAGTTTGGATAAAACAGATCCAGTAAATATTTTGAGGAACTTGTCAGTCTGCAGAAACCTGCAGCAAGAATTGGTTTTATTCAGCAGCAGCTCAAATGTATTGATCCTGATTACTTCTGGTCACATGGCCGATCTGTGGTTTGCTTTACTAAATCTCCTTCTACTGTGTGGGTGTTGGTCAGCTCTGCTTTCCTGTGGCTGATTGAGAAAAACGATTATTTTTTTTCTTAATGACTGCAAACACTTGTTGTATATGGGTGTCTAATAGAAGCTTAAGCATTTAGGAAGGAGTTTTAAAAAGGGACCTTGACTTTCTTAAATGACTCAGGGTCTTTGCTCTCAAATTTTTATGAGTCTTTGGTACCCATCTTACCTCAGCTCCTGAGTCAGAAAGTGGATAAATGTGAGACATGTTTGAGATGAACTGGAAACTAGATTACAAAATAAAGTTAGGAAAAATTACAAACAAAATAACTTTGAGTAAACTATTACCATCTGCCCTGAAAATATGCAGATTTTTACAGACATTTTTGTGTCTCCCAATAATCACAGTGGTTAACCCAGGGGAGGGCAGTCCTGGGGTCTCATTTATCAAACATTGCGTAGAATCATTACTAAAACCATACTTAAGCTGAGCAAAAAAAAAAGTACTTACGCCAAGTAGGTTTGTGATCTATCAAACATGGAGTACGCACAGCTGCACGCAATCTCAGCTTCATAAATCAGAAACTATCTAGAAAGGTTTTCAGCTGCTTTTTAGTCACATCCCTCCCTCACCACGCCCACTTACTGCCATAAATAGTCAATGCAAAGTGCCTTGTGGATCTCATGCATATACATAAGCCGGCTGTTGCTGCTCTCCGCCAATGACATGGCGACCATAGATCAAAGCAAATCAAGGAAGCGCAATTTCACAGAAGCAGAAATCGAGGTAGGTGCGGTTGAGGTGGAGAAATGAAAGGAAGTGCTTTTGCAAAACAAATAAGAGAAAATCCACGGAGTGGCACAGCGTTGCTGAAGCCGTCAATGTTGTGAGTTCTTTGGAGAGATCTGTGGCGGATATAAAAAATGGTCCAATCGGGATTCGAACCCCAGACTCCCAGGTGTAAGTCACATGCACTAACTAGTCACCCAAACAGAGATCTCCCTGTACAAGTAGCCAGGGCCCATAATCAATTGGGTCACAGTGACAGGACACACACACTAGAGACGCATGACATTCAGTCTAAATCTGTCCCCCTGCTGATATTCTGCATTCCGTATACTGCACTTCAGGCTGTGTGTGTGTGTGTGTGTGTGTGTGTGTGTGTGTGTGTGTGTGTGTGTGTGTGTGTGTGTGTGTGTGTGTGTGTGTGTGTGTGTGTGTGTGTGAGTGCGCGCGCATTTGAGTGTGCGCGCGTATGGGGTGTCTTGTTCTGTGTGAAAACGAAGCAGTACATGTGATAATGCTGCAGGATTTCATCATGTTATCCTTCTCAGCAGCAGCACTGCAGGTGCTCTCCATGTCCAACATGTGCGTAAGTCAGGCCCTTAGTCAGCTTAAAGTTGCGCACATTTTTCCGCTAAGAATTCTTTCATAAATCCCAAAGTTTGTGTTGAAAGTTGCTTACGCAGTTTTCCGAGCCAGTTTTGTGCGTAAGCAAGCTTGATAAATGAGGGCCCTGGTCCTCGAGGACCACTATCCAGTGGGTTATAGTTGCTTCTCTGCTTAAACGCACCTGGTTTGAATTTATTGGTGATTAACAGGCAGTTGCAAATCCTGATTGGCTGCTGAACAGGTGAATCAGAATTCAGGTGTGTTGGAGCAGGTAAACAACTAAAACATACTGGATAACAGCCCACGAGGACCAGGATTGCTTACCACTAGGTTAACCCATTCATTCACACATTCACACTCTTGAGTGTGCATCAAACAAAAGTGCAACTTTTGTTGTTTAAATTATGTTTGGGAAGTTCACAGTTAGCTCTCAAGCTCCTCCCAAAGTTGTCTCACATTTCTCCACTTTCTGCCCACAGAAACTAAACAGGTGTAGCTTCTAGACACCCACAATTGTGACAAGTTTTAGAGAAAGTTTAGATCCTAATTTTTCCTGAAATGTTATGAATCTCAGTGACATGAGAGTGAAGTCATGTGATTCAAACAAAGAGATTAAAAACCCCTACAAACATTTTTTGTCATTTCTGAATTGTTAGTGAGTGGTGCTCACAACTTGGTGTGTATTACTTGTTTGATGTAACACATTTCATTGGTTTATTTTGTGGCTATTGGTGCAGTGACTGTGATGTTTTTTTTTTTAGTTTGTTTACATCCTTCTTGTTCATTGTCACCAGGTTTTAGTGTCTCTGTCAAATCTGTGATTTGAAGGAGTTTAAGATTCAGAAATGTTCCGCGGCTTTTTAAATCTACTGAGATAAGTGTGACTTTCCAACTGATGCAGAATTTTTTTTCTTAGTTATCATGTGGTACAACAAAGTCTGATGAGGAGTTAATGAGGGTGGTTTGAAGCTTTTGCCTCAATTTGATCCTCCTTGTTGACATCAAGGCTTCATTATTTTCCACAACATCCTCTGATGTAAGTGAGGTGTCCCACTGTGGCTCCATTTCAGCTATTTACAACGCACCGAGGGCTTTTAAATGTATGCTAATGCGGGTCACTGTGACTGGAGGAGGAACGAGTGTCAATCAAAGTGATTTTAAACGTGCACATGATGAGAAAGGCCTCCTGCAGACTGTTGAATCAATAACTCTACACTGAAGTCAATTAAGCTCATTTGAATAGAGATAGCTTTAAGCAGCGATGTTGTAAAGCAAATGGGATTATTCATGGTGTGCGAGTGTAAACAGAAGGAAGCGTGCTAATTGCTAATTTTTACAGACGTCTCAGCGAGGGTTCAAAATTTAGGGAAAATCTATCGCCTCCTTTAGTGAGAGTCAGTGAGTGCTTTTCTCCCCTTAAACACAAACTGATCCCAGAGAGAGTTTAAAAATTGCACAGATGATTTAGTAAATCTCCATATTATTTAATCATGAATTAACATGGAGCTTCACAAAATGTGACAACTTTCTCACCCGTCTTGTATTGATTGGCTCTCACAGTGTGAACAGGAAGTTAATAAAGACAAATGTTTTGGAAAAGTGGCTGCCAAACGAACGATGCTGCTATTTGGAAGTTTTAGTTTAACATCTATGTCTATGAAGGTTCTCAGTCATCCAGGTCATTGTAGTCTAAGGAGCTTTGAAAGAAAAGCATCTGGACTTCTTTGAGTTGCTTGAAGACGTTTCACCTCTCATCCGAGAGGCTTCTTCAGTTCTAAGGTCAAATGGTGGAGAGTCCCAGATTCAAACCCAGTGGGAGTTTCCCCCCACCCCTGATGATCTTCTACATAAGCACATGAGCCAAGGTGTGAGGGTGGGTGTGGATCCTATTCAGCCAGAGTTTCAGGTGAGCTCATTGTGAAGCCTGGCCCCACCCTATCATGTGAATTCCTGAGGTCAGATGGCTCAGGATATGCGTGGGCGTTGAGGCATCTGGGAAGGAATCTCAAAACTGGATTATAGATGGCAGACAGTTGGTGTCGTAAACCACCGCCGCTGGGATCCTGTTTTTTTTTTCAGGGCCAGCAGCCATGCAGCTCTCAGCCAGCTGTGTCCACAGGAGGGAGAGAGATCTTGGGAGGGGCGCAGAGCACATTCCTGCAGATTGATGGCCTTGCTGTGAAGTCCACAATCTGAAGGCGAGGGGGTGGGTGGGGGGTAGGACGGGTTCCACAGCATCTGTCTGCATTCCTTCCTTCATGGGGGATGATTTATTTGCAGCTTCAAGGCTGCATGGTGTCAGATAAGGATAACAAGACTGTGTTTGGGTCAGGCAGAGATAATTTTCCCTCTGCCTTCAGTCTGTAACTGGTCATTCCAGTCCTTCAGTGAAGCCAATTCAGGTGATTAAACATCTCCACACCGTCCGGTGACCCTCTCCGAGATGACATCCATTTTGCGCACTAACACTGGTAACGCAGCTAAGACATTGTCCAGCTTACGGTTCACCTCGAGGAACGTCCCAGTCTGTGAGGTCTCCGCCCGGACGGTGCCGTCCATGGGTGCGGGTCGCCCTCCAATCGCTCCCATCATCCCAATTTTTCGGAAAACCAGATATCCTCCCACTCCAATCAGAAGAAATCCAGTGATCATCAGGCCAAATATCCACACATTTTCGACGTCCTCAATGGACAGCTGAGAGAGACAGATGACATTCCACTTCTTCCAGGAATCGAGCATATATCCCGCTGCGTGTGTCCCGTGAGGGCAAGCGCGAGCCTCCTCCTCCGTTCTCATCGTAGAAAAAATCTTATCAATCGCGTTGAATGATCAAATAATTAAATCCTTCGTCTTCGTCTTCGTCTTCCTCCACTTATCCGGGTCCGGGTCGCGGGGGCAGCATCCCAATTAGGGAGCTCCAGGCCATCCTCTCCCCGGCCTTGTCCACCAGCTCCTCCGGCAGGACCCCAAGGCGTTCCCGGACCAGATTGGAGATGTAACCTCTCCAACGTGTCCTGGGTCGACCCGGGGGCCTTCTGCCGGCAGGACATGCCCGAAACACCTCCCCGGGGAGGCGTCCAGGAGGCATCCTGACCAGATGCCCAAACCACCTCAACTGGCTCCTTTCGATCCGGAGGAGCAGCGGTTCTACTCCGAGTCCCTCCCGAATGTCCGAGCTCCTCACCCTATCTCTAAGGCTGAGCCCGGCCACCCTACGGAGGAAACTCATTTCGGCCGCTTGTATCCGCGATCTCGTTCTTTCGGTCATTACCCAAAGCTCATGACC